GGGGGGGGGGGCGAGATTTCAATGAACGAACCACCGTCTACGCGTACAATCTCGTGGATTGTGCGCGCGATTTCCACGCAATTTTACGACTTGCATAACGACCCGAATCGAGCCGGAGTTCACGAAGAGGCACGATAAAATGTAAATATATTGTGAAATACAGTGTCCCAGGGAATTCGTCGAGTTGACGGCACTGCCTCGCCGTGCTCTCTCCGCGGCCGGTTAAACGTCGTTTTGTAGTGGTAACGGTAACGGTAACGGCGGTATCAACATAGCCGATTTCGGCGTTGCAGGGGTGGTGTAGGTGCGACTTCCAGAATGGCGTCAAATATTTATGCGGACGAAATAACCGAATTGCAACGTAAACGAACCACCGTGGCTGTATACAGTATCGCGGTAGGTAGGTAAATCAGAGAGAGGGATCCCGCGTCGAAGCGGAGGAGACGTCGAGGATGGAAAATAGAGGAGCAAGAATAAACACGCAGGCAGGCAGGCAGTCAGGCCGGGCAGGAAGGCAGGAGGAAAGGGGATTGAGAGGGATCGCGCGACGACGGGGGGAAAAGTACATGTTCTTGGTAAGAGCAAAGGCAAGGAGTCGCAGGACGTTACGTGCCGCTCGGCTATTACGGCTCTTAATAGTAAAGAGACATGCGAACTTATTTGTACCGGGAATAATTAACATAAGTATGTACTTTGTACGTATTAACCTCTGTGCGCGAGATAAGACCTCCGGCCGCGCGTGGCTTACTTACACCTGACCAATTAAGCTCTTTCGTCGCAACGTCGGCAGTTTTGTACACGAGAAGTGTCGTCGCTCGTCGAATCGGGGTTCTTTATTACGGCAAACAATGGCAAGCGCGACGTAATTACCGCCGCGAATCACCTCCCGAAATTAACACCCACGTTGTTCTGCGAACGCAAAAAGATTTCCCGTGAAATTCGCGTCACCCCTCTCGAATTAGAACACGCCATTTGCAGAAACAACGGATTTTGCAAAAGTGAGATCGACGTACACACGCAGGATTAACTCGAAGATGGGTTTATCCTAATATTTCTTGTGCTTCTGTATTTAATCCTTTGCGATCGGAAACTGGAACATAATTGTCCATGTAAAAATCGTTGAGTTACAAGAATCGCAAAAGATTAACACGTGCTTTTTCCCACGTGTATTTTTCCTATTGAGTCATTAATGCGCATTATAATTGGCAATGATATATTTTTTATTTTAGATCGGTAGAACGTGCAGCACGTGGTCGATCTTGAGCTGTTGATCGTTCGGTGAGTCAGAAAAATGAACACGAAAAGTGATTCAAATTTTTAAGGTGGTGGGTACAATGTTCTCGAAATCAACGCTGTTAGAAAAACTTTATAATGTGTGGTTGTGAAATTTTTTCACGTAACTAAGTTACAAAAATTAATAACCAAATTGATATTGTATTTAATAATGCACAATGAAATGTGCATATGAGGAGACATTCTAAATCTAGTTTTTATAACGGCGTAATAATATTTTAGAAAAATATAATGAAACAATTTGTTTCTGAAACAAAATCTTATATACATTCTTTTTCTGTGCAAATGTTTAAACAAAATATGTAAAAAATTGAAAAAAATATTTATATAAATAATTTCTCGGTTTGGTCGAGATTCGAACCATTTTTAACTAATTTAACACAGATTTTAAATATTTCGGTTGGAATCTTGGCTAAAGAAATTTAGAATGGTTCGTGTCTTAGCTGTGCCGATTTTGTTAAAATTTTAATTAAAATTGTCGGATTTCTCTCAGTTTGGCCGAGATTCGAACCATTTTTGACTAATTTAGCACAGAGTTGAAATATTTCGGTTGGAATCTCGGCTAAAGAAATTTTGAATGGTTCGTATCTAAGCTATGCCAATTTTGTTAAAATTATTTAACTATCTTGTATTAAATTTTATTATGCATTTTTATTATACTTGTCGATGATAGGAGTGAGAACATTAAGAAGCTATAAATTCCCAGACAGCACAAATGTCCAAAATCGAGTCATAGGACGTCTTTAGGACGTCTTTAAGGCATTTTTAAGACAATACCTTGTAATAAACTTGTCTTAAAGATGTCTTAATAATATCTTAAAGACGTCTTATGACGTGATTTTGGACATTGTGCTGTCTAGGTTGCTAAAGAAATTCAAAATGGGTCAAAATGAAAAAATATGACCTAAATATTTTTTGTACTTCTACATTTGTGCCAAATTGGAAAAAAATCGGAGTGTACCTTTTGGGTTAGTTTACTTGTAAGTTATTGCTTTTGTTCGATACAGCTTAACTCAAAGATCGAATAGTAACTAGATGCTAAAAAATTCTAATTAAAAAACTCTTTCAATAGTGAATAACGTGCGATAGGACGCGTTTGCAGGCGGTCTTATAACAAATATATGAAACTTATATACTTGGATGTTTATCAACTATCCCTCTCTTTTATCCGCTTGTGCGTGAATATATTTAAACATTTAGATACAAATTGACAACAATTGATATGAAATCTTTTCAACCTGCGCCTCAAGTTTTACATTTTTCTGACTTTACATTTCGGACTTTACGGTGTATTCGTTCTTTTATTTGTTATCCTAAAGTTTACTACAAACGACGTAGACAAAGAAAATAGCCGATAATCAAGTAGCATTTCTTGGTATTGTCGCTTACGTATTGGCGCAGCGAGAGGAGACTCTAATAATCCCTTGGTCGCTTTGAAGATCGTTAAAGTCCGGTAGTACGTCGAACCGCGGACATCGAGGTTTCTGACGAAATCTAAACAATCGCCGTGTGTAATTGTCTTCGGTGTTACGGGGGGCGCGTAATAATCATCGCTTGAACATATAACGACGGTTAGGCAGGTCAGGTAGCGCGCGTGCAAACGACGTGACATGCAGTATTATTTGCTGAGCGATTATTGCCCGAGCCAGGACAGTTTTGTTTATTCTATGTGTACCTGCGATATGTACAGACAATTTGTAAGCAATTACTTTTTATCACACGGTGCTCTTTCTCTCTGTCTTTCTCTCTCTCTCTCTTTTCTCTCTCTTTCTCTCTCTTTCTCTCTCTTGGGAAACTATCTGTTTTGTTTCTTCTCTCTTGGGAAACTATCTGTTTTGTTTGTTTTCGTCACTCTCGGGAATATCGTTTATCACCGAGGTCACGTGTGACAGACACTCGAGTGAGTGAATTAGGCACGCGTCTCGATTAATATGGAATTATTATTGCTTTCGACCTAGTGTGAGTTTACAAATAAAATCCCGCACTGTAGAATTTCCGTCGGCAATCGCGTCGTAAAGGCTTAAACCACTGCAGCTTTCGCTCTTTCGGATTCCCACCTTCGTGTACACCGAGTCCGAAAGAAATGCCACGGTCTTTCTTGAGCAGTTGAACGGATATGGCGCAGTTATGTGTCGCAGAATGTCTCAAGGGTGAATGGTTGAAGTAGGCGAAGGGTGGACGAAGGCAACGACGTCAAACGGAGGGTCCTCGGGGTGCGACCAGTCAGCATGATCCCCTCGGGGGCCTATCTTCCGTTGCCTCCTGGTCCCACTAGAAGAATGTTTGGGCCCCCGCAGCTAATTCCCACGGGAATTACTTACTGCGGACTTATAGCGGAAAGTCCTTCCGAACGCTGGACCGTAGCCGATCCTGCAGCATCGCGACATGTTTGACGCGACGAAATAGAATTTTCCGATGGCCCAAGCACTTCTTCGTGTCGCTTCGCCCGAGGCGCGAGAACGCGATTTTATTAGTTTTATTAATCTAAAAATAAGCCGATAAAACGACGAAACGTTATTAGCTGTGTCGACGTTGCATGTTGTCCGACACGACGCCACGTATACACGGGATCAACAGACCGGTATCGCTCGGCAGAGAGAAAGAACCCAGCGTAGTATATGTGTGTGTGTGTGTGTGCATGGTAATAAAAGCGTAACGTCGTTCTCGTGTAACCCTCGGAGATGGCAGCGGTACGAGGAGAAGAAGGACGTAGAGAAGGAGGAAGAGGAGGAAGGCGAGTTACCGAAGGGAGCAGATAAATTCGAAGATAGTCATTCAAATCTGCCGTAATGATTTCCATCCCGAATCGATTCCGAAAGTCCCCTGGGAATCCCCCCTTATATCGAACAGGCTGCCCCCGCCAGCCTCTCGGGGTACATATACGGCGAACAACATGCATGCAACGCCACCCTCGCCCCTTGAAGTGTGTCCACCGCCTGGGGGAACGTCGGCCTTTCTCTCTCTCTCTCTCTCTCTCTCTCTCTCCCTCCCTCCCTCGATTTCTCTCCCTCTCCTTATCTGCCCGGGATTAACTTATCTCGAACTTATTATTTCTTTAATCTACGGTTAAATACTCATATTTCAGTATTAGCTACAGGCGCTTTATACTCGAAGCCGAGATGTCAGTCTGCCTCGATAACTTAAGCCGCGGACTACACGAACGCGCTGCGCGTCGATTGCATCCGAGAGAGCGCGAAGGAGCGCTCGGCTAATCGAGTGGACACGCGGTTCTTTGCGCTATCGAGGAGCGTCGGACGATATCGATCCCGTCGATTTTCGCGCATTCCTCGCGAAACGCTTGTCGAGCCGCGAGCGACGTTAACAAACGGTGGGAAAGAAAAAAAACCGCACACTGACGGCCGACCATCTCCGACGTCGGATGAAGCTTAAAAGGGTTACGCACAATTTCCTGTTGTTCATTCATTTAGAATAACGGCGCCGCGCGGTTCTCCGCTCCCACCGTACACACGTCCTGTAAATGCTTTTTTATCCCCGGAACTAATTACCATTTAGCATTTTTAATCCCGCGAAAAAGCGCATTCTGGCCCTCGTTCGTTCCCCTCGCGCCGGCCGGAAGTTCGTTGCCGAGCGCTTAAAAGCGTACGTTGTTAGCGCCATTCAGCCGCGCTGCACAAAACTCGTTTCTTTCTCGGGAAGCAGCTCGTATTTTTCTGGAAATTTCACCGAGAAACGCACGGTTCTCAACATCCTGCGACTTTTTTTTCCTTCCCCGCTTTCTTTCTCTTTCCTTCCATCTATCCTTCTCTCTTTCTCTCTCTCTCTCTCTCTCTCTCTCTCTCTCTCTCTCTTGCTCGCTCGCTTGCTCTCTCGTTCTCTCGTTCGCGTCTGGTTGTACAGATACTTTACTCGCTCGGAATCCAGCGAACGTTGATATAGATACCAACCTTGGCGAAGAGCGAAGAAATTGAAGAAAAGCTTAAGGGTCGGGGGGTTTCACCACGAGAGCTCAGCGCGGCCGACTTGGTGTAGCCAATTATTGCGGATTTATAACCGAGCACCTGATTCGGTCTCGAGAAAAGTTGGCGCGTTTCCGAATCGCAATTTGCAAGCCATAACTCGGCTTCGCCTGTTCGCGCTCGGCGAACTCGCCGGGCGAAGTGAAACGAATTTTCGCGGATATTCGCAAATTTTCGACGTGCAAATCAGACCGGCGATTCCGACAAGTATTTACTGCTTGCGCGCAGACAAGAAGCTCGAGCTTTCCGGAGGATCGAGTTACGAGCTCACCGTCGAACTACGAGTAGTAATTACAGAGACCGCGAATGCCATGCGTGGAAGTTGCGAAATTAATTTTGGGATTCCGTTTTTAATTTCGAACGAACAGTTTGGCTGTTATCGGATAAAATTCCGTGGTGTTTCCGAGTCATCGGACACGTAGACGCTAACGACGCGGAAATCGCGATTCTCGGGGACTGCGAGTTTGAACTGAACGAGTTGCAACAACAGCCGGCCGATACATATACGGGTTCTAAGCGGTCCTTTTATCTTTCACGTTTTAATCACGGATAAGCCCAGGCGCGTTTGTCAATTTTCTAGAGTACAATGGGCAGAGAGGGGGGAAAGGGTGGGAACGTCGACCTGGATTTGCTAAACACTTCGCGCGAGTTGTCGCATGTAGCGGCGCAGCACACCGACGCGACGTGAATATACATTGATTCTCCTGTCTGTGTCTCTCTCTCTTTTTCTTCCTCCTCCTTCTCCTCTATCCTCTCTTCGCTTTGGCGGGGACGGCGGAGACGCGTTCAATCGAAGCTTTGATGTATAAATTGCAGCTTTCTCGTTTTCGATCTTTCCTCCCTCGTACCCTCTCCCGCTCGCGACTTTCTACTCCCTTTACTGGCATGATTCCTCCATGGAGCCTGGAGGAGGGTGTCCCGGCATCTATCTATCACTTCCGCTTTTCTTTTCCTCATGGACAATCGTTCTTGAGCGCTGTCGACTCGCTTTCCTTCCTCGCGTGTCCTCAATCTTCCCTTTCTCTCTCTAGGATGGCTTCTATAACTCGGAATTATATTACAAACGGACGAAATTCGCGCCGACCATGTTTGTATCACGCTTCGAGGCGAGACGACTCTCACTCGTTCACGTTGCGATTATCGAGATTGCGATAATACATAATTTTCGTCTCTTCTTAAAAGACGTGTTTCGCACATGTGATAAAATTACTTCTCGCATCGTTTCGCGCGTCGCTATCGATTTCTCGATTACAGGCAACGCGTATAAAACGGGAGAATATCTCCGCGCGGCTACGTGTCGATTTACATGTCACTTAATGGAACTTTGTCGTAAACGTGACTGCGCATTTTTAGATAGTCGCGTGTGCACTCGGCGATATCGCAGAGAAATTGCGGAACGAACGTGGCGTTTCATGAGTCGGTAAACAGCGTGCTCGGTCCCGGTGCACCTCCGCGCACCTCCCGACGTCGTTCTCTAATTCATAACGCTTCTTATTTCGCCAATTGCTTCGCAAGATAATGCACATATCGATCTCTCTCTTCCTCTACTCTGCTCTCTTCGTCCTAGCCGTTCAACCCTATGACATCCCGGATCCGATTAATAAAAGGAATGGATCGCGAATTGAGGACCGGTCGGTCGGTCGGTCGGTCGGTCGGTCTCTGCCGGTGCAAGGCCGCCGCGGCTTAGTAATTTAATCAGCTAAAACTAACATCAGCTCTGTTTCCCCAACCCTCCTCCTCGTCCTTCCGCCGCTTCCTTCTTCGCCCTACCGCTACCACTACTACAACCCCTCTTCTTACCTCCGTAACCGACCAGCCCCAAGATGATTTAATTTGCTAAAATGGTGAGCGTATCTATAGGAACTCGTTAGAAGCTCGGGGTCACGACGAAACAAAATAATAATTTCGAGGAGATTGTATTTGTTCCGTCCTGATGTAACATTATCCGTAATTTTTTATTTATTCTTCTTATAAGTTGAATAACGTTCTCGTTTAAATAATTCGTCGTTTTGGCGCTCATTAAATTATCCGTCTTCTCGAGGGCGATCGATGACGCTACGACGCGCCGATAAAACGACAAATTCGTTATCTTTCTCTTTCTCTTTCTCGTAGTGAGTCACGACACGTAACCGTGCCGTCTGAGGTCTTAATTTAACCGTTGAAAACTGCTCGTATCCGTCCGGTTATTTTATCTGAATTCTCTCCCTCTAACTTTTTACGGCACGGTCGTTTCTCTGTATGTCGTGACATTTCGTAGGTGCGAAACACACCTCTCTCGCGCACGGCTCCGCAGCCTAAAAAGCACCCTCGAACGCGCATAAAGGACTTATCGCGCTCGTGATCGCGCGTTGTATTTGCGTTTGCACGAAGGTTGTGATCCTCCTTTGCGCCTTATCGGCGCACCAGGATCTACGGCCCTGCCGGTTGCGGGGGGATCACAACACGTGGTTCGCGGGTCGCGCGCAGAGTTCGCCACGTGGCGCAGATAACAGGATGGGACAGCCGCGCGCGCGGCGGTGTGCCCGCTTTCCCGGAGGGGTAAGAATCAACCCCCCGGAAAATTAAGTGCTTGTAGCAGAGATGATAACACCCCCGTTCACGTGCGCGCGCCCGCGTCGCTACGACGATTTCGCACGAGTCCCGCCGCCGCGTTAAAATAAAAAAATAAAGCAAGAAATGTCGAAGGAGCGCGAGACTCGCTAGAGAGCGAGACGTTTGATGATACTCTCTTCTTTGTCTTCTCGATCGTGATCTCATGTATTACGAAAGAGAAATCGCGGATCACGGAACGATATCGGAACACGTGTGTATGTAAGAGAGGAAAATAGTTGATCTAACTAAAATTGTAATCATTTTGGGCCCTAACTATACTTTTTGATTCTCATACAAAAATGCTAGCAGTAACGTACATATGAGATTATTATCACTAGCATTGTAGTAGAGTTTATTAAAGAAAAGATTTTCTTGACCATGATTTATAGTAATTATTTCTTTGTGTGATTATAGTTACAAAAACCAAGCATTTATTTTGCTCAGTATGTTCCGGATCGAAGTAGATACGGGTATCCTACGCGTGCAGACGTAGCTTCGCTCGGTTATTACACAATGGTCGTTAAAATATTACAGAATTATATTTAGTTATATACAATGTTCTGTATTTGTGATTTTGCATAAATATTTGATTATATCTGAGAGAATTGAGTTTTGACGATGCGCACTTTAAAAGAGAAGAAAAGACAAGGAAAACGAAATTTAAAAGAATCACAGCTACAAGAGAAACGTTTATTAATTTCCAACTCGACATTCTTACGTTGCGAAGGACAGTTGCTTGAATAGGAAGAATCGCGATATTTGAACTTACTTGTTTCGTCGCGGAGTCGATGAGCCTAACGTAGATATCCTGCACCTGCCTGTGACCTGAAACAGATAGAAAATCGCAATATTGAACAAATAATGAATGACTCTTTTGATTTCTAATGGACATATCTTAGTAAAGTGTTTGCCGACTATTAAAAACGCACGAATTGGAGATCGAGATGATACAATCGTTATGCGACACGGTGCGTACCCGTCGCGCATGAGACGGCAAAAAGCGCCATTAATAAGCAAGAAAGCGATTCGCGCAGGCATTTGCAAGGCTCGCGAGTCGAACAGTACCGATACGGAAACGTGTCCAAATTCTGCCGCATGTGCGGTCGCGCAGAGAATCCTTCCGAGAAAAACTTGCATATCGAGGAGTATTTAAAGCGCGACGTGCACACACAGAGCGGCTCGTTCTTGCTCGTTCGGCGTCACGTATGCACAATCTTTCCTGTTCTTGCGTCAATATCTTACGCGTACTTTGAACCGGTCGAGCAGCAGACACTACTGCCGCCGTATCGCGACATGATGCAAACCGCGATAAGGAAGAGACGTTCTCGCGCGTACGTGTAATGCGTTAATTAACATTGCGCCCACTTTCCTCTCGGGGCACAAATTCGTGCTGAAAGAATTGGTCGGCCGTCATGCACGGCCGTGAGCGCCGGTACGCTTTAAGGTAAACGCCGATTTCCATTTGGAGAAGATCAAAGACGCTCGTCTCGTCGCGCGACGTGCAATTTCGCCACGTGCAACGTCGGCGAAATTGGCGGTGAGCGTTCGCGGCCAATGTGATTTTTATCTCTTCCGCCTTGGTAATTGCGTCGCGAAAGAAGCGCCCCCGTCGCGCCGGCGGGGCGGAGGAGGAGGAGAGATGTTACGGGTTAAATTGGCCGATACGTATCGGCACGCTGTTTACCGGCGCGCGCGCTATCCGTGGATCGTAACTACTACGTTACAAACAGTTCGCGAGCGGGTGCATCTCGCCGCGCGCGTTGCAAGTTTTCGAAACTGCTCCTTCCTTCCTGGGGGAGTAGCGGGTAATCCCAGGGTGTATTTCGGACAGACACCCCCGTGGCTTCCGGCTTCGCGTGCCTGGTAAGCCAGGTAATCCCGACATAAGACTCGCAGACCCCGGCGGGCGCCCAGGCCCGGCTCACGCCGCATAACGTTATTGCGGATTACGATACTCCGGCTCGAAACTAGCTCACAAATTACCTCGAGAAACCGTCGCGGCTTTACCGGAAGTTACGTACGCAGTCAACCGGTTTACCGTATCCGTGGCCGTGTCAGGATTTGCAAATACGGGTCGACGCTAAACTGACCGAATAACTGATGCGAGCTTCCGCCGAAATATCTGCTTTTCTACGCCGCGAGAGTTCTAGTCGGCAATGAGATCCGATACGAAACGTGGCAAGCGGCCATCTTGCTTTCGTATTTTGTCGCCTACTATGATAAGGAGGAGCATATCTCGCGAAAATATCAAAATTCGCCGTCATCAGATACATCATCAGGTCTGTTCGTGTTCGATAAATTTTTGCACTAGTGCAATAAGTTAGAGAGAAACAAGTATACGTTCTTCCACTCTAACTTATTGCAATAGAGTTTGCAATAGTGCAGAAGTTCTTTAAATAAATCTATTTGCTCGTCTAATAGGAGTTCTCAGCCGACTGATTAGAAGCGTTAATTCCTTAAAAACAAGAAAGATACTACAACGAAGACAATGTTAAAAGAGAGAATAGAGAAGAAAAAAGAAATGTGTAAGAACTATCCATCAGCTATCTTCGCGAACCGCGATTCACCTCGCATCGGTTCCGAGGGACTCGGAATGTAATTACGAGCGCGCGGAATGCCGAGCTTATCGCCGGGGCGGTGGCGGTACTTCGCGATTCGACTCGACGCGATGACGATAAAGGCAAGAATTGAAGAACGCGCTGAATAAGAAGAGGACTCGCGTGCCATGTCCCACTGTGCGGAGGCAAATAAGTCTAGGTCGGCCGCGACATTAGCATAACTAGGCGACCGGGTTCGAGCGGATAAAAACGCGGTCTCTCTCTCGCGAAGAAACGGATACACACTGCTGTCCGTCCGCTCGATCGGCGATCCTTGATCGATCGACCGCGCATTTATTATGCACCGCGATATTCCGCGCTCTTGACGCAGGCTGCGGCGCGTTGTCTCTCGTCGCCTCCGTCTCTATCTTTTGCCGAGTACTACCGTTTTCGTCCTCGTATGCGTGTGGCGTGTCTTCCTTATCGCGCGTGTGTGCAACGGCGGCCGGAGAAACGTGCAGAAAAAGGTAGACGACGCGGGCGAGGAGACCGCCGCAGAAGAGCGGGAAGAGGAGAAGAAGGATGAAGAGGAAACGGAGCACGCGAAGATGCAGGAGGAGTGAGCGATGACAAAAAGGAGTAGCGACCCAATATGGGCGAGAGCCCGTCGTCACTGGGACGGTTAGGGAGCGCTCCTTATTTATTATTTAATTATAGATTTATTGCCTGGTCGGGCGATCGGTGACGCGCACGGAGACACCTGATGGTGGATCTGCCAGTGGATAACGGTGGACCCGGAGATAGATAGATAGAGAGAAAGAGACGAGGAGAGAGAGAGGAGGGAGAGAGAGAGAGAGCAAGAGAGAGAAACGAAGCATGTTCGCGCTCCAATTTGTCTCCGGGGCATAAGAGTCGCGCGTGTGCACGGCTGAGTATTTCGCGTATGAAACTTTTATAAACGGCGATACGAACACGACGGCTCGATCTGCGGAGCCGGCGCATAAATCAGATCCGCGCTGATGTACCGATCGACTGTAAAGGGCATGACTAGCAGCGGTAAGTCGCGGTACTCGCGAGCGACAATGTATAAACTCCGCTACATCATCGTGTTCGATAACTGCGAGTGATTTTTTCGCGTGTGTCCCTCGAAGTTTCTTGCGACTAGCGTGCGCAGCCGACGCGTGTAAAGTCTTTCAGTGTCTGGTTGCGAGTCGACTGCGTTTCTCCCTTCATTTAGATCATCCGATTGTCGTGTTTGCAACGAGAGAGGAAACTCTGATTTCTCGAATGGGAAAGTTTAACCGATTAAGGGGATGTTGAAAATTTTATCGACAGGGTACCGACATTTTTCTGCAAAATCGTATCAGTTGTGCAAAATTATAAATGCTTCTACACAAAGAAAGCACGTGCAAAAATAAATAGAAGTGTTGCTCGATATGTAATGAAAACGAAAAAAAATTTTTTAGATAAAATCTCAAGCTATCAATTAGCATAATATTTGCCTAATTCAAAAGTTCCGCAGTTTGTATATACTGAAAATGTGGATGTTCTAAACAGAAAAATTTTGAAAAACATTGCTATACTTTTTTGCATCTTTCACGAATTCAAAAGCTTAAGAATATCGGAAAAGTTTGCAGAAAGATTTCTACACTTGCGTGATTAGGTTTTCCGTTGAATATGGTAAAACAAAGCGACACATATTTACATAAGTTCTGTATGTGCAGAAAATACGAAAAGGATGATGACCATCTGCGTTATCGACGTTGTTATCGATCTGCGTTTGTCATCGACCTCAGCATCCTCTTAATTTGCAACGTATCCACTTTATGTAACTTACGAAAACGTATAAGATTACACAGATTAGGTTTGTGAAGTAATTTTGTGCGAGAAAGTCGACGCGGTGAAATCACAAAGATATGCAAAACGATCGCTAGGAAGAAGGATGCATTTCGCGGTTAGATTTGATGAGAGCGACGCGCACGCTCGATCCAGGATCGCGGATTCATCGTATTTGAACACCCCTTGCAGCTTCCGCTTGTCAGACGAGTCTTTTTCGCGCACGCCGATCAGAATTCGCAAAGTTGGCCGACCGAGATGCGGGCGAACATTGCGTTCGGGAGAAAGCACGGGAAAAATTGCATGACGATAAGGAGAGGCAAGGACAGCGAGTGGACGAGAATGTTCTCTCGTAGAATCGCGGTGAGCAGAGCCGAATGGCGAAAGAAGGCGTGAGAGAGACGAAGAACTCGGCCGCGGTTGCGGTGTGCTGCGCGAGGCGCGCGCCTTGGTATTCCTTAGTTTGCAACAGTTAGTTGTTTCTTGTTCGCGATGTTCGCGACACGTTTTAGTGTCCTTAGATGGCAGCGCGGCCCCTTGCACAGTCGGACCAGTGAACGCAAAAATCTCGCATTGATTGATCGGGCCCCTGGCCTGGCGAGGACGGGCGGGGTGAGGAGCGAGCGGCGTGAGCGAGTCGCGGGAAAAAGAAGGACGGGAAAGGCACGAGAGTCAGAAGAAAGCTGGACGAGAGGGGTGATTTCATAGCGACGGCGGTGGCGGCAAGAACGGGGGATAAAGAGACGTGGTCTGTTGACGTTATTCGTGGCGTATATGGAGCGAAAAACTGCTCCCGAGCCGGGAATCCGCGGATAGCGCCTGCTGCGGCTTTTTAATATGTTCATAATGCGAGCGCGCGTTTTTGGGGGTGGGGAATCCTTTCGCGGACCACCTTCGAATCGTTCGCTTCTTTCGATCCCTTTTGCGCGTCGTCTTCTCTTTCCCGGGCCGCGTCCCCCTGCGACATTCGGACGCTTCTTCGGGACGGAAGCTGCCGAGCCCTTTTTGCCGCGCATCGGCCGGTGTGACGTAAAATATGTCTCTGTTGTGCGTCGGCCGAGCCTCGAAAGTTCTCCTGAGCTTTTTAGCGGCCCTAAGAGACCGGGTGTTCGCGTGGAATGTCGATGGCCCGTCATCGCCGTCGCTGCGCCGGATGGGGCTATTACGTCTGGCCCTTCGTCTGGCCCTGAGAATACGGCCAGTTCGCAGATCGATTCGAGAGTCTGGCTGTGTGCGCGCGTGCGACGCCTACGCGCAAGTGCCTGCGGAGGTCGTCCGTGTATACACGCGTAATTTTGTCGAAAACGAAAGTGTTAATATTTCGCGGAAATATACGTGGCGCGTTAGTTGCGCTACATAATTGAATGGGTGAAATAAATTATGGAATCGACCGTGGTCTGTTGACGATTCGCACGTGACGCATACGTCACGTTTAACCGATCAGAGGACCGCTGAGACCGATTTGCATCCCGAGTTGCGGCAAATCGCCTCGAATCGCGCGTGCCCTGTCACTTACCGTTGGAGTAGAGTAGATGCAGACTGTACTGGATACCGTTGTTGGTCTTTTGGCCCTCGGACTCCTGCAACAAGCGACACAGTACCTGTAGTTACGCGTCATTCCCGACATCGCGATGTAGCAATGAAGTACGAATTATGCGGGATCAACGTTGGATCGCTCGTGCTTTTTATCTGCGAGTTTCTATCGCGGACTCGCCCGACTTTGAAGCCAGCCGTTGCAGCTCTATCGCGTACGCGGGCGGTTGCGCGTTCTTCGCGCGCTCTGTTCTATTTTAATTAAGTGCACCGTGACGCAACGCCTGTGCGCGCCCGCTCGCCCGGCCTGCCCCACCTCACGCTAATTATTAATTTCTTGATGCGCCGGTAAGAGCCATGCCATTACGTATGGCGTGCGATGCATAATTATCATCCTGCCCCGTTGACGAGTCATGCGTGCATCGTGCCATATGCCGCGACCGCGGTAATGCATTTTCAACTACCTACCCCCGGAACATCATGGTCGGTACACCCACGACCACCGGCCCCCGCCCGCCGTGCTACGCGACCGCGACTTTTAGTCGTGTGCACGACCTTTCGACTCGAGGATAAACGCCGCCGGTGCCGATCGATTTCACGTCGAATTAACGTAATTATATGCGCGTAGACGTGCAGGAAAACTCCGTTTACTCGCAATTCACGCTGCCTTCCCGTGCGCGTAAACGCAACGTTGCGCGACTATCTGGAGCTGTTCCGGTGAATTTGTTATTAATTCCTCAGGACGCGATTTAATTTAATTTATTAATCTCTTAGTTTTTCATTAATTTTTTAAGATATGCAGTTCAAACTAATTCGTTGCTTTGAACTCGAGCCAGAATTTTTATTCTATTTTTTATTTCAAAATTTTACTTAACGCTTACTTTGACGATCTGAGCCTCTGTATTAATCTCTTTGATTCTTTAAATAAACATATCTTTGGCCAGTAAGAACCAAGGCTCAGATGTCGGAGCAAATATTTTCTGCCATTTCGAGGCGCTCAGTAGAAGGCTGCAGTTTTCATGTGTCTTAAACATACATTGATCCTTCAGAATATACAGATACTGAAAAGTTCAGGGGTCAAAAGCACGGTTGAAATTACGGAAAGGAAGCGTATTCCAATCAGCTGATCACAAACCGAAAGCTGCAGGAATAATATTTATGGAGAACAGCAGTTTTGTGACATAATGAAATTAATTATAAGAGAGGCCTTCTTTGGGGTGTGTTTCACTTTAATATTTCATGTTCGTCGTGCACGGGCGATCTCGTACTTTTGATCCGGCGTGATATCCCCGTCGCGAGCGCGACTGTTTCATTTTGACGTGCACGAAAGTTCCGGCGAAGATATCGGGAGATTACGGCTTATCAGCTTAAGCACGAGAATAGCCGACGCGGATAAGAAAACCGCATAAATCCATCGCGAGATTTCTCCGCGAACGAACGTACCGGGGCTGTGGGGGGAGCGATCATTTTTCTAACGAAGCCGGGGGGAAGGTTCCCCTCCGCGTTCGCGTCCGCGCTCGCTTCATCGGATAATCGGTCCTACTTCGGTCGATCGGACGGCCGAACGACGACGTCTTTCTTTCCTTTTTTTTCCGTTGCGCGCACGAGCGCGGTACGAGAGCGCACGCATTAAGCTCTTTCCTGTCGTCGGCGTTCGCTGCGACCATTAATCTCTAAATTCGTGCGGCGCACGGCGGACGTTAATCAGATATATACGCGGATAGGTCGAGCCACTCTTTCTCTCTCTCTCTCTCTTTCTTTCTCCGCTGACTGCTTTTTAATTAAACACGAACAAAAAGCGGACGAAACGGGGAGACGCCAGGTATTTACCTAGAGCATTCATTTCCGGGAACGTGCGTACGAGAGCGTCGTAGCTCTCTCGGTTCGTGTCTATGGCTTAGTGAGACTCGATTTACCTGCTCTTACATTGTCCGTGATAAGCGCTCGTGTTTCAATACAGAGATATCATGTGTCGTTCTTTCGTACGTTTGGTTTCTAAAATAAATCTTAGGATTGGCGAGAGAGTGGGAGATGTTGTCGAGTTTTGCGAGTGAATTCTGAAATTTTTTCAGTGCATACGAACAGAATTTTGTAAGTAAAAGTACTATAGAATATTTTGTAACCTAGGAATGAATCGACATTCTGTTGTGATTAGCTGTCTTTTTGTCCCGTATATGCTATTTATATTTCAGGAACCGCGCTTTTAAAAAATTTGCTGTTTCTAGCGAAATTTATTATGTAAATTTCCTTAATAAGACGGGTCTTTTCTTTACTGACACAGTCTATTTCTGTACTACTAAAAACACTGTAAAATCGAGAAGAATTTATATGAAAAGAAATAGAAGAAAATAAGCTATAATATTCTTTTCATGTGATTATAAAAATTTCCCGTTATTCAGTATATCTTGATTTAATGCACGTATTTTTCGTGATTTTTGTCAGTTTTCTCTGTTTCTAAATAACCGCCGCAATATGTTCGAGACAGATGTTTACGCGGTAGATATAATAAAATAAATTATATTTCCCGATTAAGGCCCGGCGACAGAAGAGGAGAAGGAGGAGATGCGTGGACTGAGGTACAAACGGTACTCGGCACGAGGTTGATGCATGTCCGCGGTGCATGACCCTAATTAATAGGGAGGCCACGCGATGCAACTGTCCCGACAACGTGAATTATGCACGTATTATAAGGTCAGGATAGGTGGCGAGAGAGGAGACACAGGAGAGAGAGGGACGAGAGTGAGAACGGCCGGGAACGTTATAGATTCACGAAAAGGTGGAGCGACAGGCTCCGAAAAGGAGGACGACGAGAGCGCGAGAGAGGAACCCTTCGACTAATATTCATCGCGATGCGAATAATTAATCGGGCGCTTGTGCGTTACGTTACGAAACCTTATATAACTTTACGAAGTTTCGCGATTCCGGTGTCGGGCAGCGTTGAATGCAAGATTTACGGCCACGTTCGGAGGAGAGGCGCCCCAAATATCCGTCAAATCGACCGTGAAAACACCGCTGCTCGGTGAGAAGCGTGCGTGTACGATTTCCGTTTTCTTTTTTATAAGCCACAGGTCCGACCGATATAAAATCATTTCGTCATGTGCCGTTTTTTCGCACATTTTAGACTCTACAATAAAATATACAATAAATCTTGGGATTCGCAAGGAAAACTATGAATTTATCGAGCTTTATGAATTGATTATGGAAACATAAAAAAAATATTATTTTATCTTTAACAGAATCCTCTCACACATACTGAGGAAAAATATCTAAAAAATAAAAAAAATCTTTATTCAGCGAGTACTAACAACATATTTACTTAGATCTAAAGTCTTTTATTTATATGTTACGTTATTTGTAATACAAAAATCTGAGTGTAACTCTAAAATTTTTATTATATCAATACACCAAAAATTGTATGGTGTAAATTTAACAATTAACTCAATACAGTATATTTACTATGTAAGTGTAATTAAAAGAATTGTAAAGTTTTCATCATCGATTGTGCCTCATGTCATGACAATGATGAAAACAAATATATGTTATTAGTACCCACCGAATGAATATTTTTCATTTTGTAGGTATTTTTTTCTCAGTGTATGTTACGGTCTCAAGTTTCTCTTAAAACCAAAAGGAAAATATTCCAACGTCCAACATAAAAGAATTTTAGTTGTAAGATACTGTTTCCTGTAATCCTATATTCTAAGCGAAAATTTTGACCGAAAGAGTATTTATCTCCTAATGAAGATGAATAATTTTTGTACTTAGAATATTTTCTTTTTCGGTTTTGGAAAAATCCTCTTGAGGCCGTATGTAAGAGGATTCCGCTAAGGAAGATGTTATATTTGTCGAGGTGACTTTCTTCCCAGCGACTATAGGATTTTCCAGATGTCATGTGCGACATTAAAAGACGTTTTTTTTTCCTTTTCATGACTGTCAGAGCGAACAGAGCGATCGACTTCATGAATTCCAAGCTAAACTCGTGAAACTTTCCAAGGCGGCGAGGTCTCGTTCTTAAATCCACGCGCGATCTCACACGTTCCGCGGCGCGATTCAGGCGCGATCGCGACCCCCGCTGTCGAATTAGAGCCGACGATTTATGGTGGATAGATTTATTAGTGGGTGTACCTCGTTAGCCCGGGGCGCGGAGCCGGAAGAGAAAGCGAAAGACAGAGGACGACAGAGGGAGATAGAGGGACTTCCGACAGAGCGTCGTCGATATATCTGCTGGCCTCGCCGCAGAATTCCAGAGGTTACGGTCGGGATTACGTTTCGATAATTTATACGCGCGTGGACCTTGGCTCGTCCGCGTGCCGTGCATCTGGATTTCCGTCGGTTATTCGGCGCACTGTGTACGTGGCCCGCCCGCGCTCACATACGTTGTCACGTACGTACGTACGTACGCCTGATCGATCGATCCTCGATGTAGTACCATAAAGCGCGTGGCCGTATACTGGTTCTTCTGCGCGCACACATACCGGAGATGTGTATTACCCGTGCAAATCCGCGCCCGGTCGTTTGTCCCGCGCGCGGGTATCTCTCAACGTAACGATTTCTCTTGCGCAAGAGTGGACGGTGCGTCGTGCGCGCGCGACGGCAGTTAACTTCTCCTTAAACAGCTATACTAATTGACCAATAGAAAGTGGAGCTCTAACGATGACTGAACGCTGACAATCGCGTCCCGTTTCAGGGCGCGTTCTTTCGGGGTCGTCGCGGCGATCGTTCCCCACGACAGTTTTGCACCAGCGAAACTCGGGTTCGCAAATTTCAAATGTCTCTGTGCTAAGGAATGGGACCGCATTTATGAGGTTTCATGCACATTTCCAGTTTGTAAACGAAAAAGAAAAAAGAACGGTCGTTTAGATGCGATATTCGATCAGTATTGGCCTTTTTACAAGCCGCCACTGTGACTGATAACCAGATAACGAACAGTCGCGGTATCTAGAGAAGCTCAATGTAAAAAGCATCGGTGAAGTCATAGAAACGTGTGTGCGTATCTTTTCTCGCGTATACTATCGTGCGTTGCTCACGGAAACACAAACGGATGACAGAATTTATCGTATGTACTGCTAAATAATTAGCTGTGGACGGTATCGCCGGCAATTACGGTAATTTCTCGGAGAGGCCGACGTTTCGCGCACGAGCGCCCGGCCAACAAACGCCTGACAGAACGTAATCTTCGATCGAAGGTACGTGAGCATGGTAGGAGAGACGGTCGAAGGGCGCGCTCTCTCTCTCTCTCTCTCTCTCTCTCTCTCTCTCTCTTTTTCTCTCTCTCTCTCTATTATTCCTAGGTCATTCGCTTCGCGTGACCATCTCCATGATCCTGCATCGCGCGCACCGTCCATTTCTCACCGGCGGCCGATGGATTTTCGCCTGTCCGGCTAATTGTCGGAAAAGAAGCGCCGGATATGGATTTCACGGACTATCGATACGCTTACGCGTACACACGCGTAGGCGTTGCTGTTTAATATTTGACGCCGGCCCCGATGGAAACGGCAATTATCGAGATAAGTGCGCGCGCGCGCTTGCACGATATTCCCCGGCGTCATAAAGAGCCTCCTCTCCTTTTTTCCATCCGGCCTCACGGGAGCGCGCCGCGGTTAGCGGCGAAGCATTGAAATTCCGAACTTATCATCCGCTATCGTCGCTCATTTCCACCGGTGCTCACAAACTCGTCGTCGACTCGCTCGTTCCGCCGTCGCCGCGATCCTTTATCGTCGCTCGCTCGCTCGCTCGCTCGCTCGCGCATCTCCGAGAGAAAAATGTTTCGACGCGACCGGGTTTCCCAAGCTTTTCCGGCGGGGATCGGAGCAGGTACCGCGGATCATTTTTCGCGATTTAGGACAGTAACACGCGCGTCGCAGTTATCGCATTGACGGATCAATCGGCCGGACGGACGGACGGACGGTGGAAGTTTTAGGACGGCGCGAAGCGCTCCCGTGGGCGAGCGCAATAGCAGAAACCATTACCTGATCTTTCTCGACGAAGCCCATGAATGACGTCCTCTCAATCTCGATCGGTTGGCCGTGTCGATCGTAAAGGGCGATTACGAAATGGAAAAAATTGCTCTTCCTCAGATTACTCGGTGGTTGCTTCTCGAAATGCGCCCGACCCACGCCGACCCTGTAATCAATCAAACACGACGTTTTAGAATCGTTGTACAGAGTGAACGCATAAACGTATTTACATATAAACTGCATAATCAAATTTGTCTTATCGGATACCTCTATAATAAGTAAACCATCCTACTTATTGTCGGTAAAGTATCTTAAATTTGGCAAGATCGATATTGTGCAATCGATCTGAAATTTGCTCGCATGATCACTTTCTTTCTCTTTCTTCCTTTTTGTCACGTATATGGAAATTACTGTTTGCGATTTGGCTAATTTTTCAATTTATACATCTTGTTAGTACGAAGATAACTTGTGCAAACGCGAATAATACTTGGTATTTCGGAAGTCTCTGAAGTAGAGCATTAAGCGTTGCTCTGCATCGCGGGGTCAAAGAGGTGTATCAGTCTCTCGTCCTTGAGTGCAATAAGAATGCCCAAACCGGTAGAGAGGAAAGACAAACGAGGTCGACCGTGGGGAAGCGCGCAGGTGGCCTCGACGCCTTAAAATCCCATTAAGGTCTCATGTGCCGAGATTAGGCCGCTGGACTCCAATGCCATCTTTGAGTAATGGCACAGAAAGTCCCCTTTTCGAGTACGTCGCGTCGCGAATCGTGCGACCAGACTCGGTGCGCTGATCTTGTAGAACTCGGAGTTTCTCGTTGACCATTACTCTGTCGTCACTGTCGACCACGCCAGACATCAACCGTGATCGCGCGACAATCATTAATATCATCTCGATCTTATCACACATACCGATTTTCTTCCTCCCCCGATAAAGTGCAACAAAATAGGACTATCGTCGAACTTCTTACGAATCTCGAGCGTCGGATCTCCGTCGATTCGGACGCAATACGCGTCGAGCAATTTTTTCAGCTCTTCCATACAGCATATATCGCGCTCGGCGGTTAAAAATCACCGCCGAGAAATCGCATTATCGGCGCCGGCCAGTGCGATCGGGTCGTCGCGAAACGATAAAACCATCGCACGACTGCACAGAGCCCGCGCACGGGCACGGCCATCAGGGCGGACCCTCGGAGCGGAAAACTGAATCGACTGGACCGAAAATGAATAGCGGCAGTTTTGCAGCACATTTGCGAAATAAATGATGGTATCGGCGGTGCGTTTGTCACGCCAGGTGGTGGGACGCCGAGTCGCCGGCAGGTAGAGGGTGGACGGGTGAATGGGAGCGGGGGAAGGGGGGCGATACGGGAGGGAGAGTTCGCGGGGTAGACGGCGAGGGGACGGTTGCAAGGGGTTGCAACGCGGGATTTCGGGAGGGAGCGCGGGAGGGTGGAGGACACACGCTCGGGGAGGAAGGGGGAGTGATGTACTGCCCGTGTCGATAATTATCGGTGGCTGATTAACCGGCCGCCGGTTCGCGCCCCATAACTCTCGACGTCCGATTATTTTGCCCCGTTTGCCATGCACCAATTCCTATATAACGTGTAGGCACGTCCCGCCGCACCGTTATATTATCACCCGCGTCGGCTACACCACCACGCCTTTTCCGCCCGACTATCGAGGATTGCGGAAAACCGCGCATACTACCCGCCCGCGCTTCGTATCGCTAATATGACAATAGTGCGCACGCGGTCGCACCGCGGTGTGCGCGTGTGCGCGCGCGAATGTTCGCGTGCAAATTGCCCCATGAAGGAGAATAGCTATCAACGCGAAATTCCTCGCAGCCCTGCTAGATTTTCCCTGCTTATCATTGGATTGGCGGTTTCTTCGCTCTCGCGAATTAGAATTTTGCTTCGTTAGTATTTTTATATTGTCGTTTTAACTTGTCGTAGCGACCAATTTTTCAATTCATACTTCGTTTAGCCGATACATCGCACTCTGTGTTATGTTATTATTCTTAAGCCGTCAAGTTATTATTCTGGAAACCGACCCGGATAATTCATACGCGAACTCGACGGGAGCGAAAAACGCGATGCAATTCGCCGTGATCCTAATTATGCCACATCGAGGGCTGTCTACGCATCGATATGTTTTTACCGCACGGAGAAAACTGTTGCGGTTGCCACAATCACATTCTCTATGGTTGAAAAAAGAAATATTTGTATGCATTCAAGTTAACGTTGTTGGAAAGGTCTGAAATTCCGCACGTTCCATTTCGTTCCCTTCAAATCTTTGTAATATCTTCATAATTGTTTTTCTGTTATTAAATCCTAATATTCCACAAAATCATGAAAGATATTATAAGGTTCGAGAAATTATAAAAATGCAACCAAAAAGTAAAGAGAAAAAAAAATCCAGCAGATTCCACATTTCCAATGACGGATTAATAGGGAGGATATTGCATTAAAATTGCCCAATTAAAATTTATACAGTTTTCATAGTCACGGTTCTTCTGATACGTAATGTCTAAATATTTCAGTCAAGAATCTTCAATTGAAACAAAAATTCGATTTACTTATTGCATAAAGACGAACCAACTTTCTGTTCGATAAAGTTTCATGATATTTTTGTCAAGAGAATGAATTCTCTTCTTTTGAGCGCATGTTAATGAATTTTTCCGAAATTTGTGATAAGTATATTTTCAGACTACACAGAGAGAACGATTTGGTTGAATCAATAAACACTTTTTTGGAATAGTCCAAACGAATTTTTCGATTGATCAAACAAAATTTTGTTTGAAGCAACAAAAATATTTATTTGTGGTTTAGTTCCTAAGAAATATTTCTGTTGTGTCAACCAAATAATTCGTTTGGACTATTCCAAAGAAACATTTATTTAAATCAATAAATCTGTGTATTCTCTCTGTGTATTATCAAGAAAATATATTTTTTGCCGAAGATAACCAGCACTCAAAAGAAGAGAAATAAACTGAGTAATCGCTTTTCTTAGCAGTAGAACGATACTTTTCTGTATATGGTTAAAAGTTTAGTTGCGCGAGAGTGCCGTTCAAACTGCACGAACAGGCAGCAAAGAAGGTCACTGTACCGCCCCTAGAGTATTATGGTTTCTGCAATTCTTCGGTATATATATTGGTGAAAAGTCACGTTAATATTTTGTTACGTCAGCCATATTTAGCCAAGTGATATCCCCAGTGTTTTCTCCGTGCGATATTCGCCCGTCAAACAGCTATTTTTTGCGTCTCCTGCTCTCGGCAGTATCGCGCGGGTGTGTCCGAGCGTTTACGGGATACAAATACGTCGTGCAAATATGTATACGCGAATAATGTGCGCTTATGCGGGGGCGCGCGCGCGTGTTGCTCGTCCCGCCGAGCGACGCCGAGAGAGAGGTGATAATTACGGGCTCCATTCGCGTTTACTGTATTCGTGCGTGCAATTTGCCACGCGTGCGCTTTCGGCTCGCAGATAACGCCGCTCGTTCCGGCACCTGCGAATCATTCGATTCCCTCCGCCGCCGCCGCCACGGCGCGACGCTATCCTATCGCGCGTCTATTCTTTCGCGGCCGGCTGAAGCGCCGATTCGATTTGCAGATTCCGATCGAGACCGGCAATGATACCGTTCCAAACGACACGCGTATCCAAATGCGGGAATGAAGATATTGGCACGCGATAATTCGCTCCTCAATCGTTAACGGCGTGCGCGCTCTCGCGACAGAACGCCTCGAGGGTGAGTTACGGGGACACGAATTGCGATTATGCGAAACAACAACGAACGCAAAAGTACACAGCAGCGCGCGTGCGTTTATGAAGCCCGCGTATGCGGAGTTGTGTGAGAGAAGAATCACGCACTTTATTATATCGCGGTGGCGGCTGAATTGCGCAGCCGGTGACTTTTGCCTAAAACTCCCGGTGAAATCTCCGCGGAACCGCGCCAATCACGTAATCGACATTTAAACGACCGCGACAAAGCGCAATCCTCGACGACGCGCTCGCCAAGAGCCGCGGATTGCCGGATAACCGATCGATATATCGCCCCTACTTTACACAGGAGCCGCGACCTGTGCCATTTGCGCGCCATGCATTATGGACGAAATATGCGGATAATACGAAGCCACCGATATGGTTACGAATTCGCGGATAAAGCAATCGTGGAGAATTACAATAAATCCGCAGGTAATGCGCGCGCCGTCGGGCGTTAGTTATTGCGAGTTACGAAACGCGCTCTCGCTCTTCTCTCTGTCTCTGTGTCTCTCTCTTTCCCCCCTCTCTTTCTCTGTTTCTGTCTCTCTCCGTCGCCCTCTTTCTCTCTCTCTTTATGCTCGCACCCAATGCGATCATAATGCGCGCGGAGATAATGAGCAATTTGTAATATATCCGAATGTAATTTGCTACTGGTGTGTGTTACTGCGAACGTTGTTCAATTTGGCGCAATGTTTCATCGTAGGTTCGTAGCCGCGTAAAAATCTAATTTAGTTATTAACACCCTTGCACGCGCATGCGAGGCGCGTGTATTTCGCAAATACTCCGCGCGCGTGAGAGCTCTCCCGTGATAATAAATAATTTCCGCATATTTTAATTAAGTTTAAGCAAACATACCCATACACACATACATACATACACCACATTAAAGTACATTAATCGTTAGTTATGCATTAAACATTCAATATTTAGATGGATGTTTGTCTTGAAATTACAGAGTGCGATCGATAATTGTGCGTGGAAGCGTTTCGCCACGGCTTTGTTGCAAAAGCGTGGAATGCAAGCGCGCGAGATTTAACGCGCGATTTTCGTGCGAGCGGATTCCGCCGTCGGATTCGCGAATCAATCACAATTTTTTCTCTCCTGGCCGGTCCTTTCTCGCCACGTTTTCTCGCGCGAGGAGGACATCGTTTTCGCGGACGCGTGCAACAGTCTTTTCTGCGGGGCGCGATGGTTTACTGCTTCATTAGGTGAATAACTTTTTTAGGGGTTTTTAAAAAGCGCGAGAGTTTATGCCTGTTCCGCGGGAGTTTTAAAACAGTTTCGCAGACCCCACACCCAGTCGATCTCGGTGTAACGCAGTTGTGCGGTACAACCGTTCTCTCACGCGGCGGGAAACGAAACTTTCCAACTTGAGTTCGCGGCAAGGCGAAAGTTGACGCTTAACATTTTGCGACTTTTAAACTCCCGCGAGGCAATTACCTAGACTGCCGCAACATTGATTTAATTAAATCTCAACGGGAAGTAGATACGCACATCGGGATTCTTGTATTCGACGCCGAGATCGCGATTGATTTTGCAACGATTATCACTCGCGATAATTATTATTTTCGTACACTCGAGAGAAAGAAATGAATGATCCAACTAATATTAGTTATTTTTTGTCCCAATCATATTTCTTGTAGTAAAATAGTGATGGTAATATGTACCTAAAGTTGTTATCACTAACATTACAGTAGAATATAATGAAAAGAAACGGTTTTATTGACCATAATTCATAGTAATTATTTCCCTATGTGATTATAGTTACAAGTACCAAACATTTCTTTCTCAGTGTGGTAGATGTGTCACCTACGACAGATTCTACGATCAATTATTTCTTTATTGCATCGTTCTCGTTTGCTCAATTCGTCGGGATTGTGATTTATCTCGCAACGATCATTACTCGATTTTTATTTGCAGTAGATGTGTCATCTACGACAGATTCAGTTATTATATTTCCTCTCCTCGTTTGTTCAATTAATTATTTCCGCGACAATGCTTCCTCTTCGTATACGAACGCGCGAATTTTCTAGAATCTTGCTTAGGCTGCCGCAACACATTGTTTCAATGATATTTCAACGGGAAACGGATCTACGCATTGCAAATCCAAGTGTTATTCTTAAACGCATGTGTAATTTGATCGAAGAGTTCTCTTTACGCGTTTCTCGCTTTGAATCACGTTATTTAACGTTCAAGATGCATGATTTATAATTCCACAATATGTCGAATGACGTGATAAAGCGGTAAGAAACGAGTAAAAAGAAATTCAACTAAACAATATACTTAAACTTTCATATTCGACGTTGAGATAGCGATTAATTCTACAATGATTATTATTCGACAATTATTCACGGTAGATGCGTTGTCTACGGCAGATTATGTGATCAATCATTACATTCTCCTCGTTTGCTCAATTCGCTGGGATTGTGATTTGTCTCGCAATGATCATTACTCGATTATTATTCGCAGTAGATGTATCATCTACGACAGACAAATTGTTCTCGCGACAATACACCCTCTTAATCCGCGAACGCGCGAATTCACTTTGCTTTTGTCGCGATCCCAGTTACACCAAAGCATAAAGTTTACTTGGTGCAACTCGTTGCTCAAGACCATGCAATTTACGTATCTTTTTCTCGGTCGACCGAGTAAAACGCAATACTCACGTTCTCGTGGCTTTAATAAAATTCCTCGCGCTTTGGTTTCGCGGGCTCGGAGCGGAACTCCGGGGTATTTGTCTTTCTTCGCGCGGGAAGGTCAGAGCCGCGCGCGCGGCGGCGGATAGCCCGGAGGAAGAACGACCGGGCAAACGAGGGAGAAAGTGCGGGACGGGGCGATGAGCAAAAGGCGCTAAAATTCTCAATTACATTAACTCGATTCCGGTCGGTCCCCGTGTCACGTTGCGCTCGGAAGCAGGGAAGGGGTTAGTTAAGAGAACCGCTATTGGATTAGCGAACCCGGCCCGACCCGCAGCGCCGGTTTACCTTCTCGAGTCGTCGTATCTGTACCTTCGTCGTTTGCACGTCGTACAAATCCCTTAAGCGAGGCTGCAATAAAGCACGGTTTATCGTTCGCCAAACGCAGGGACGTGTGCGCCACTTCGAGACGAGTATACTCTCTTTCTCTCTCTCTTTCTCTTGCGCGCGCGGGGGACAAAGCGAGTATTTGTTTTCGCGGCACGAATGCCAACCGACGACGACCACGATGTCGACGTCGAGGAACGGCCGTCGTTGCAGGCTGTCACCGCCGTTGTCATCCGCGATACGTGCCGGCGTCTCTAATGACACCGAAGAAATATCTGAAACGATTTATACGTATATCCAAGCACGCGTCCCACGACGCACAGGAGGAAAATAATGTCTCGGTGAGCCTTGAGGAAAAGAGAGCGCGCTTCGCGTTGTCGTTCATATCGCGGGGTTTTCTCCTTTCTCTCTTTCTGCGATTTGTAATGGTCGATTGAACGAGTTTCGCACAAATTTACAGCTCGCGTATTTGCGCGATATTCGTTGTGTGTCTGCGGTATTTAAAGCTTTGTACAATTTTCACGACTGCCCAATGGCTGGCGATATATCACGCAGGGATGCAGCTCGCAGCGCGATCCGACGGCAAACGATACAACGGACGCGCTTCGAATTTCGATCGAAGACGGATATATTTCGGTGTTTTATTAGCTTATTTATCTTTTTTAACATCGTTGCGGACCGCGGCCGGCGATTGTTTAAGCGGGTTAAAGATTAAAAGCGCGTGTAACGACGTTAACGCTGCGCGGTAAACATTTCGTTTGACTCGATGAACGGTGTAACGAGATAATGGCGTGCGTAAAATTGCACGCCTTTAATTGCAGCTTGTGTCGCTTTTAAACGTATAAATATTATTTCGCAAAATACGGCGACCGCAACATTTTTCCGCGCGCGACGGCAATTTTTCACGTGTTCGACCGTTGAAAGGAGCCATCATCCGGAATGTTCTTTTTCCTTTGTTCCCTTTTTTCAAAACTCTCGTTTCATAAGTTGCCATGTCATCGCGTCGCGTTGTGCTATTCTTATTTCCGTCCATGTCACGTCGTTCGAAACAAGCGGTTTGGGCTGGACGTGACACCATGGCAAATCCTTTTTGCGGTAAGGAACGGTATTCTCGGTAAAATAGAAATCAGCGGGGGTTGTTTCTCAAACAACATTCTCGCGTCAACGGGAAACGCGGGTTCTTCTCACCGCGACATGTCTCATTAATTGTGCGGATTATCAACATTTTTCTCACGCGAGAGACAACGTGAAAGTGAAAAGGACTGGTGTGCGTGCTGTACTCACGTTGCTGTGTTGTCGGCGAGGGCGGGCTGTGTCCAAGCACGTGGTACCGGTTCCTCCTTGAGTATCTGCCTCATGTCCTGAGGCGCGAAAACTAACGGTGCCCGCGGATGATGATGCGGCGGCGGGGGTGGCGGTGCCACACTCGCACCGTACAGCTTACGACCCCAGTGTCCTTCGAGCTCGACGGGGCTTCCGCCCCCCGTGGTGGCCCCGGTACCACCCCCTGCGCCGAGTCCGAGCCATGGCGACCCCCCAGCACCCACGATCGTGGAGCTGGGCAGGAGACCGCTCCACTCGTCGGACCGCGTGGTGAGGCCGTACGGACTCTCCTGGGGCAACAGGCTTCCTCCTTCGCGTTGCCACTCTTTGCGGAAACTCTCTCTGATCGTCGTCTACCCCTCCCCCCCCGCTCGGCGACACCCTTTCGCGAGATACTCCGCCGGCGCTGCGTCACCCCGTCCGAGCGAACGCGCACGGTGCCGCGTGTTCCTTAGGTTCGCGCATGAATCGGTGCCATCAGCAGCACCGCAAACGGAGATCGGCGGCCGGTGTGAGCCGCGGCGGCGGTGCACGGAACTCACGTCCGCTCACCACTGACGGTGTCGTCGCGTCGCTCCGCGGCTGCACCGTCAAGTCAGCCGCACCGACCGCGTGCCGGTGCACATGCGTCCGAACGTGCGTGCCACGAGTTCGCGGGTAAGGGTTGCGCACTAAGGGCCGCGTTGGAGTCTCACAATATGCACTGTTTTCCCCACTAGTTACGACAGTTCTCACAGACTTTCTCTCTCTTTCTCTCTCTCTTTCTCTCTCTCTCTCTCTCTCTCTTTCTCTCGCGCGCGCAGGATCGTGTGTCTTTCTGGTCACTCCCGATCTCGATCGTCCCTCGCGGGTTGTCGCGACTTTCTGTCACTGTTGTCGCATCACTACTCGCCGCGCGGCGCTTGTGTGACGCGCCGCGTATTCGTATTAGGTCTGGCACCAGGAATCATCGACTGTCTCTCCTCATCGAACGCTCGTTCCCAGAGGTGCTGTCCTTACTGATGACTCCTTCGAGATCCCTGCGATCCCTACCCAGCTGGATGATTCTCGGGGTGCACGGAGAGGCAGTGGTGGTCGGCCGCGCGGGTGGTAATCTGAGCACTTGCCGGCAGTACGCCTGTTATCGTTGCCACCGAGACGTCGCGAGGGTGTCCCGTGACCAGCGGAGAGGTCCTTCGAGGTCCCCAGTCGCGCGTTGCTTCCCGTTACGGCGCCGCTTGTCGAATGTGTCAGGGCCGGCACTAGCGGCGTGCCAGCAGGTCCCAATGGGGTCGGACCTTTAGCTTCGCGGTGGGCGCGGCCGCGACTGACACGGCGCAAACTACTAGCTCTTCTGGGTGGCCTTGCCCATTTTGTGCTGTGCACCAATCCACTGCCAGCACCACGACCAATGGATGAAGTCGGCTCGCACCCATGCGGACGCCCATCTCGTCTGCCAAGGATTGTGGCGCCGCGACGGTGATGTCATGAGGCTGTCATTCCGGCGCGAGCCGCAACGCACTGAAGGTCGACCCTGTCGCGCTCCGTTCTTATGGATACGACACTTTGCGAAAAATTTTCGAAAAACGTTCTGACATGGCACTTTTTTTCTCTTTTTTTTAGCGACACTGTATAGAACTTTGCGGTTTTGCTCGTAAAATCCTTGAGATCTTTGAGGGATTAGGTTCTTTTTCAAAATTGGACTGTTTAAGAAAGTCCATATTTCCTGATAAGCATTGAGAGAAATTATTCGATAAAAAATTAACAAATATTCTGATCAATTTTTATATATTCGATCAGAATATTCAATTAAATTTTATCAGATACTTTCGATCATAATCACTTTATTAGATAAATCGCTCAAAAAATTATAAACTGATTTAGAGAAAGAAATAAGAACTCGCAAACGAAGATATCAATCAAAAAATAGGAAAAAGGGCAATTCGAGTTCAAGCATAGAACTAACAGTGCTATATACCATATGGGTAAAAAACCTTCCTTGTGTTAGGAAATCGTGTAATATTTATTGAACATGAATAATCAATATAAAACAATCATACGTTTCGGCTCAACCATGAACCCTCTTCAGTGATAATAAAAACTCAAGGTTTACGGCACGAATGCGTTACAATTAGTTAAAGACCTGCGTAAATTGACATGAATGTTAATCGTAATATTAAAGCTGATAAGACCATTACCGAAATAATATTAAGTAGCTAATTAATATTGAGAAGTAGCTGTCATAACTATAAAAATCATAAAATAAAATAAAAATAAGTAAAATTGAAATATAATAAATAACTAAAACTGACAATATAAAATACCTTTGTTGAGTTCAACTAAAAGTAAACCGATCCTGTCAACGATAACATCGCCACCTCTACGAAATACAAATAATAATAGATTTATATACCTAGCGTTAACATTTCGGAAACGACTTGTGAAAGAGAAAGAAACTAAAACAAAGTTTATTTTCATAAGCCGCAGTAGCTGGTACCCAAATATTCAGTATCCTTTTGTGAGTTAAGACCATGCTTCTGAAATTTGATAAAAATCATTTCTGAGATCAGGCGTTTCAACTAAAAGCGTTCCTCATGTAAAACTTTGGCATGATCCCAATCAAAATCATGGTTCTTCCTCAAACGATGTTCCTGTATTGGCCGTTAACTCCACCGTAGAACTTCTAGGAATTCTCCTATGTTCGGCAATACGTGTAGAGAGTCTTCTACTAGTTTGACCAATATAAGACGCATCACAACTACTGCATTGCAACCTATACACAACGTTATTATGGAAACCAAGAGGCAACCTATCTTTATGCACACGAATTAATCCTGATAATTTATTAGTGCAAGAATAAGCATATATCTGTCAAATTATTTCTAAAAAACTTTGCCAGTTTTTTCGAAATTGAACCACAAAATGGTATAGTAAAATATTTTTTATCACACCCAGAAGCTGTCAAATTTGTTTTAACTGTCTCTGAAACTCGTCTACCACAATAAGAAACCTCAGTCTACGTTTAATAACTTTAAAAATTAGGTCAAAAGGATAATTATTATTAATTAGTGTCAAAATGATAAAATCTAAATTTTTCTTATGGATATCAAATTTCATTACTGAATATTTGGGCACCAGCTACTGCGGCTTGTTATGAAAATAAACTTTGTTTTGGTTTCCTTCTCTTCCACAAGTCCCGAAATGTTAATGCTAGATATATAAATTTGTTATTATTTGTATTTCGTAGAGGTGACGATGTTATCTTTGACAGGATCGGTTTACTTTTAGCTGAACTCAACAAAGGTATTTTATATTGTCAGTTTTAATTATTTATTATATTTCAATTTTACTTATTTTTATTTTATTTTATGATTTTTATAGTTATGACGGCTACTTCTCAATATTAATTAACTACTTAATATTATTTCGGTAACGGTCTTGTCAGCTTTAATATTGCGATTAACATTCATGTCAATTTACGCAGATCTTTAACTAATTGTAATGCGTTTGTGTCGTAAACCTTGAGTTTTTATTATCACTGGAGAGGGACGTATGATTGTTTTATATTGATTATTCATGTTCAATAAATATTACACGATTTCCTAACACAAGGAAGGTTTTTTACCCATATGATATATAGCACTATTAGTTCTGTGCTTGAACTCGAATTGCCCTTTTTCCTATTTTTTGATTATAAACTGATATTTTTCATCAGATATTTTCTGATCGGATACAAAAATTTGATATTTGCTCGATATTTTGCTCGGAAATGTCCGTTTTTCAATTTTTTATGGGATAATGTCTCTCAGTGAGTATTAGTTAGAATTTCGTGATTTCTTCTTTGAGATTTTTGAAATTTTTGAGTGGTTGTATCATTTTCTAGCGAACGCGCGCGCGCGTGTAGTGCTCGCTGGACATTTTGTGTTCTCGACGTATTGCTGTCAATCCAAAATTGGACCTACAAAAATAAATCCATATTAAGCCTTTGTAATCGCTATTAAACTCCACTGGTCAATCTCTCGCAGTTGGGCAATTCAATTTTTTAAATTAATATATATTATTTGGAAAACTATCCACAGTTACAAGAAAATACCCAATAGGTAGGTGTGTTACATTAGAAGTTGAAGAGGAAATAAAAATCAAAACATTCCTAGATGATTGATCAGCTCTTTTGACGTTTGGACTAACTAGTATTTAGCGCAGCTCTGCCTGCATACAATTCATATTGGTCTCCAATTGTCTTCCTCTCGATCTTTTCAAATCGAACGAACCTCTTCAACATTTTCTCAATTTTTGAACTCCGTTACCATAAAATTGCAATATACGTTCTACGTGAACGATAAAAACGATGAGGGTTACTTAGGTAATCGAGGGCATAAATCTTAGGTCGAGTGGCAGTTGGGTCGAAAAAGTAATTATAGAATTTGTTTGAATAAATTTATGTGGTGGAGGGAGTAGAGGTAATCGCGAAGTTAGAAGGGGAAGCAGAAAAGAAAAGAAAGAGAGAGAGAGAGAGAGAGGTCGGCAGTGTTTCGCAGTCCTCTTACTAACGCGAAACCGGCGTAAAATCTATTCTTCCCGGGATCTTGTTTGGACCGTTTACGCGGGAGAGCCACTGCCTCGAGGGTATGGGGCCTATCAAGTGGAGATAATGTGTTCTGTGCCGGGTAATTTGGCTCTCCTCCCTTCTTTCCACTTGAACCGTCTTGAATCCACTTCTTCGACTGTGTTTTGCATTTGCAAATACATTTCTGGCTGTTCCGTCCGTAGCTGCGTGTAGTATCGATTAAACTTAATCGGACTCGGTGTGTCCAAAAGTGACGGCGACGCGCTGATACACGAGTCTATATCTGTCAAAAGACGAAACTAACGTTCGGACGACATCGAGATGCTCGTTTATTCGTAACTTTACATCTCTGGTTACAAAACCCGACTTAACAGTGAGTAATCGCCGAGGCCATCTCACGTGCACACATCGTACACGGGGTGTCAAGGGTCGCCGATTAATGTTTATCATATGCCGAGATAATGAAGCTTAATGAGGGTCTGCAGGCGTCATTACGAAACACTCGACATGCGCGCGCGTGCCAAACCGGTTTCAATCTCCTTTTTTCCTTAAGCTCGTCGTCTCTCTTTCAGCGTCGTGATTCATGAGATCCCTCTCAGCTGCCCAACGGCCTGTAACATTACCACCTTATGGCAATGACGCGACTACGGCGGTATGTGTGTGTATGTGTGTGCGCGAGAGACTATATAGAAACGGAGTTGCTACTTTTCACTCCGTTATGCCTCGGTGTCCTTATAAAAAACACAATTGTATCGCGGGGAAAAGAGCGGTCTGCAGAAATTGAATTCGCGGGACTTTGC